TCTCAAGAACCCCGACTGTCTGGACGCTGGGAGGCCGCTTCGGGTGACGGCCGGAGCCGCCGCCCCGTCCCGCGCCTCGCGGCTCTGCGCCTGCGCGCGCTGCTCGCGGCGCCCCGCTCGCCCGGCCGCCGGGCTCTCGGTGCAGACCGGCACCCCGCGAACTCACCCGAAGCGGCCTCCCAGCGTCCAGACAGTCGGGGTTCTTGAGAAGGAGGCTCCCAGCCCTCGTCCTTCGGCAGCCGGTCTCTGCCCAGCCGCACGCACCGGCGGGAAGGAGACCCGGCTGGGCACTGCCCCGGCACCGGGTCTCCCCGGCCTCCCACCCCCGACTGCGTCGCTGTGCTTTGGGAGGGGGCGGCAAGTCGCTGGTGGCTTCTACCTCCACAGCCTTCAGCCTGTCCCTTCTTCCTGACAGGCGTCTCAGAGGTTGCTGCCCCTTAGAATCACCTGGGGAGCTAAACCGCGAAACAAAACAGAAGCAAACCCCTCTGATGCCTAGGTTGCCCCCAGCCCCCTAAAGTCTGAACCACGAGTGTGCGTTTGCAAAGTTCCCCAGGTGATTCCAGTGTTCAGCCAGGGCTGCGGAGGGCGGACCACGGACCCAGACCCAGGCTTCTCAAACTTTAATAGGCACTGAAATCACCTGGGATCTTGTTAAAATGCAGGTTTCGATTCAGTAGGTGTGGGGCGGGGCCTGCGAGCCTGCATTTCTAACAGGCTCCCCAGTGATGCTGAGGCTGCTGGTCTGGGGGTACATCTAGGGCTGAGGGACACTTCTGTAAGTGCTCCTTGTCCCTTTACCTTTCTCTTGTGGTGTCATGGAGAAGATGTGGGCCGTGGAGCAGATGGCCAGGGGTTGGAATCTCACCTCTGCCACTCTCCTAGCTTGGTGAATGAAGACAGACCCCAGTTCTTTATGCGTGAGATTGGGGTGTGATAGTGACCTTGCAAGTTTCTGGCAAGTTTGATACGAGGTGATGTATGGAAGGCACCTGGCACTCAGTGAGCTCTCTGAGGATGGCTAAGCTCTCTATCGGCCCTCATGGCGGAATCAGCCAGGAAATGACAAGTAGAGGAAGGAACCTTCCAGGCTCCCTCTTCCCTGCTCTCTGCCCTCATAGGAGGACTGCTGGGCTGAAGCCAAAACTCCACTGTCGGGTGGGGATGGGGAGCGGAAAAGGAAGCGGGCTGAGTTGGAGGGATGAAGGGTAAGGAGGGTCCCCGTGAGAGCCCTGAGGAGGCCCGAGGCCCTGGGAGAACAGTCCCGCTGGAGGCAGACAGCGATGGCAGCGGGAAGAGTGACCTGAGCAGGTGGTGAGTCACGGAAGGATGGAGAGCAGTGGCCATCAAGGTCAGGATCCCCGGAGACAGAGAGAACAGGAAGGGGATGGCCCCAGGAGAGAAGATGACTATACCTGGGGAGCTGCCTGTCTGTCCCATTGCCCCTTGGAGGAGTTGAGTGTGCAGGCTTTCCCTGGAGGCTGTGCGAGGCTGTAGCCTGTTGCTAGTCATGTGACCGTGGGCACCGTGACTTAAGCTCTCCAGCCTCAGTTTCTTCATCTGTAAAATGGAGCTGTAATCACTAACTCAAAGGATTGTTGTCAGAACTAAGAAAGGCGATCCTGTAAAGCCCTCTTATCAGCGACTGACACACAGCCAGTCCTCCGAGGGTGTTTGGTATTTCTCCCGTTGGAGAGATGAGCAGCCGGAGGCTTGCTCCCCAGGAACACCCAGGTCTGTGCTCCCCTCGCTCCATCATATAGGTGGAAAAAAATCACACAGGGATTTTTTAAGCTCCCCAGACGATTCCAAGGGGCAGTGACCTTTGAGAACCACTGGTAGAAGGGAGGGGATGCTGAAGTCTGGGGGGGGGGGGGGGGGGGGGGGGGGGGTAGAAGCCGCCAGCAACTTGCCATTTCCTCCCAAACCTCTTGGGCTCCCATTCGGTCAAACACCCCTTTCAAACCGACTTTATGACTTGGTGAAGGGCCCACCATGCCTGCTTGTGGTGGACTCCAGCCAGAATATGTCTCAGGTGGTAGTCCAGTGAAGGGGTTGGAAGTCAGAAGCTCCGGATTAAATCTCACTGCCTCCCTCGGGACTGGTGGTGGCGTCCACGGGCAGTGACGCTGTGCTAGTCCCGAGACGTGCGAATGCTCTCTTAGGACCTGCCCGAGCACAAGGCACGTTTAGGATGTTCTCTTCTAAATGCACGTGAGATTGGAAAACTGCAGTCTCTTTGAAAGCGCAGGCCTCTGATCTGATGTAGCTCCAATGGGCAGCTCAGTAGGCCGGATTTTTAAAAACAAGCTTTCTTTTACCCAGAGCTCACGGGCATCAAGCAAGCAACGAGCCTAGAGCTGAGGTGTGGGGCACCCACGGTCCACCCTGAGCCCTGCTGGTGCCGTGTTCCCTGCATTATTCTGTGATCATTGCCTTTCACGACCTTTTCTCCTCCCCTGGACAGTCAGTTTTGTTAGTTTCCATCACCCAGCAAAATGCCTGCCATTTAATCAGTGCTTGCTAAGCGCTCATGAACAATGCACGAATAACTGAGCTGCGGGAGCTGGGGCAGGCCCTTCACTTCTGTTTCTCCTGGGCCTCAATGTTTTCATGCATAAAATGGGGTTTGGAGTAACTTTGATCTCTTAAACTCCCTCTTGCTCTTACAGCCGCTAAATTTGAATTATTCTTCACCCGGTCGTAATCCACTTTATTTTTCCTTCCCAGGTACATATTCCTACCTTTGACCTTGATTTTGTCTTCTCCTTACTCAAATTGGTGGATGAGCTCTAGAAAATGGTTACAAATGCCCTGCCCATTAAGGCCTGAAATTCCTTTGTTTTCTCAATCAGTTCTTCTTGGTTAGGCCATCCATCTATTTGTTTTTTAATGTTTATTTTGAAAGAGGGGTGTGTGTGTGTGTGTGAAAGCAGGGGAGGGGCAGAGAGAGAGGGGGGGGGGAGAGAGAATCCCAGGCAGGCTCTGGGCTGTCAGCAAAAAGTCCGATGAGGGGCTCGATCCCACAAACCTCAAGATCGTGACCTGAGCCGAAATCAAGAGTTGGCCGCTTAACCGACTGAGCCACCCAGGGGCCCCCATCTGTTTTTTGTTAGAGGCTCACTGGGCTGATCATCCTGGGCTTTCTCTTCTCTGATCATGTTGGCAGCCTCTGCAACATCTTTGGACACATCACTTCTGTGGCCTTGGCAGCATACACATCTGCACCCCCTTTCCTTTGCCCAGATCAGGGGAGGTGCCACTCCCTTCCCCCCAGTGCGTGATGTGGTCACCGGACGCGGCACGGGCCCACAAGAATATCACCACCCACAGGATTAGATGAGCGTCACCACCCCCGTCCCCTCTAAAATAACTTCCACGTTTACCTGTTGGGGCTGAAGGAGTCCAAATAGGATGCGGGCTCTGAAGGGAATCTTTTCCCCTCCAGGAAAGCTGCCACGGTGCGATTTTCCATAATGTTGGCCTCACCCTTGGATATTTGCCACCGATGAGTCAGCATGTGTGGTGCTGTCTGTAAAGGCGACCACGCACAGGCCATCTCTATTTGCATGTGCTGGTCCTCTCATCAAAAGGTAGAGGTGATGCCCTCCCCCTTGAATCTGTGCTGGCCCTGGGACTGGCTGTGACCAATGGAAGGAGATAGAAGGGATACTGTTCTGGTTCTGGGCCGAGGCCTTGTGTTCCCTGAGCCTGAGCCACCAGGTAAGGTGCAGGCTATTCTGCCGGGCAGAGAGCCAGCAGTCAGCCTCAAGGCCCCTAGGGTGTCCGCCCCACCTGGCTGACACCACATGGGACAGTCCCAAGACGGCACCGATGAGCTCTGCCCAAAGTCCTGGCCCACAGAATTGGGAGCAATAAAATCGTTTCGTGGTTTAAACTGCTCAGTTTTAGAGCGGTTTGTCACATAGCAATAGATAACGGAGACATTATACTCTCTGGACCTTCATTTCCTCATTGGCGAAATGGTGGGTCTCCCTTCCATCTTGGAGGCCAAGCCAATGCCTCCGTAAGCAGCATCAGACTCTCTCACTGTAAATAAACCTGCTGACATCTGGTCTCCAAACGAGGGTTGAAATCAGAAGTGCCCCTGAGTCCTAAAGACCACCAGCACTGGTGCAACTGAAATTCATCAAGGAAAACGCAAGAATGTAGTGAGAGCACTGGCTTCGGAGTGAGACTTCCTAGCTTCGGATTCCAGTTCTGCCACTTCCTGGGCCCCCATCTTGGACAAGTCTCTTTCTCCAAGTCTCAGTCTCCTCTCCTGTAAAATGGGGATAAGAATAGTGCCTCCGTATAGGATTAATGCGAGGAGTAGCTAAAATATGGCCCATATATTACCCAGCACGGTGCCTGGAATGTTGAAGGTATTCAATAAACAGTAGCATTCCCTTTGCTGGCTCTTATGGTATTTTTGTTTTGTTTTGTCTTTATATCTTTCCATTGAGGAAGTGTAAAATAACCAAAACATGATAACCTAACCTTGCCCCAGTCAATGAGAAAATGAAATTATGTATTACCAGGGGGCATCCATAGCACGGGTGTATATTATCGTCGTAGGTTCAGAGAGAATTTAAGTGATTTCTTTGGTGTAAAAAAAAAAAAAAAAAAAAAAAGCAGACTGCAGGGGAAGGGCAGCAGGAAGAAACTGAAGGATTTGCTTTCATTTCTAAAAAGATATTTATGATTAGAGGAAGGACGGATGAAAGGGATGAAAAAATTAATTTGTGGCTTTGTCAAAATCAAGCCCAAGGAAGCTGCACATTGGTTCGCACATTTTTAGAGAAAAACAACAGTGGAACAAGAGAAATCAGAACCTAACCTTCTACCATCTGCCACAGATGATTCTGTAGCTCTCTACCAGAATCTCATTAGCATCTTCTAAGAGGCTGATTGTGCCACCAGCGAAACAGTGGTGGAGAAAGGGCCACTCACCCGCTGGGCACAAACTCCACCTGAGTCTGCTCTGGCAGTGAGGTGGCTGGATAGGAACCTGGTCCTCTCTCCCGATTCCCTCCCTCGCGCAGGAAGTCCCCGGGCAGACAAAAGCTTCAGCAAGGAGAGAGTTACCCTTTAAAATCTCGGCTCCAGGCAGCAAGAACAAGGAGGAGGAGTGATTGGCCTAGCAAAGACAAGAATAACACCGAAAACCCACATTTGCTTCTAGTTCTGGGCCTCCTGGGTCTACTCTCCTCCTGGCTACATTTTCCAATGCTACATTTTCTGGAGCTTTTTAAAACCCGGGCCTGCCAGATTGGAGGTGCAGGGAAAATGGACCCCTCCCCCACCTTCCCATCTCCTCAATCCTCCCGCCTTGCCTCCCAAAGGAAAGCAAGACAATACAAGACTGTTCTCCAGTGGCTTTCACCTACTCAGGGGCTGTGAAAAGAATTTTGAGCTTTGAAAGGAAAATCTCACAGGAAAGGGGGCCAAGTCCAGAAGATGATTCCCCAGAAGGCTTTAAGGAATTCTGATGTTTCTTACCATTTCCTTAAATCCCCCTTTCTGGGGAAATGTGTGAGGCTGGAACCTGTGTGAGTGTGTGTGTGTGTGTGTGTGTGTGTACACACATACATACGTACATACACACGTGCAGATGCTCACACATACATGTATACATACAAATATGTACGAACGAAGCAAATACCACCCAATGGTCTACTCTCTCCAGGAAGATTGGAATCCATAAGATTCTGGAAATCTGCTAAACCCTTCAGGGACCCATAATTCACTGGACCCTTTTACTGGGGCCAGAACTGTAGAAACCCAAATCCAAAGGTT